AAAACCATCGTAGACACCATATATGTGACACGTTCAAATTTTGAAAAATAAAACAATCATCCGCAAATAACAAATGGTTTATAGGCAAAGATGTGCAACTAATAGCTATCCCCTTACAGATACCCTGGGTTGCAAGATGATCAAAGCCATCTGATAAGGCTTGCATAACAATCAAAAATAGATAGGGCGACAATGGATCTCCTTGCCTAAGACCGGTTAACGGTTGAAAAAATTTAGGCTGGGTCCCACTAAATAAAACCAAAAATGTACCTAGGTTTCTCTGGTAGGTTTAAAAGGGATATTTTCAGATCAATTGTAGACAAAATTCAAAGCTACAAGTATGGAAATGCAATCTTTTGAATTTTGCTGGTAGGGTTGTGTTGGTTTAGCATGTGCTACATTCTATTTCGGTTTATTTAATGTTTGTGTTTCAAATGCCAACCTTTTTTTTGGAAAAACTCACAACAATGGTCAGGAACTTTCTTTGGCATTCCAACCAAGACAGTGGAATTTCCTGGAAAAAGTGGACTCATTTATGTTTTCTGAAATAATTGAAGGGGGGTGGGGTTTGGGATTCAGGATCTTAGATGCTTTAATCAAGCTTTGTTAGCAAAATAAGCCTGGCGGTTGGTAACTAATCTGAATGTGTTGCTGTCCCAAGTTTTGATGGAAATGGTTGGAAAATTTTAGGTAAAATCAGAATTTTTTTCTAACTTTGGTCTATTATTTAGGTAGGACCCGAGCGTTGATTTTCGTGGGTCAAGGTGGTAACACGTTCTATGCCGCGTTGTGATTCACGTGGTATATTTAATTGCTCAAAACCATTATCAAGTGAATGGGAAATTGAAGCCAAAGTGTGCTCCATGGAAATAGAGTTTTGGTGAAAATTCCTTAAGATTTGTGTAAATGGCTTGTCCCACATTGTTTTGGTGGGAAGTTTTGAATGGGTTTATATAGCTTGGAATTATAACTTTGGGAGGGCCCCAAGAGGCACCCCAAGTTTGTAGAAGGGAAAGGTTATGGGTAAAGTGGGCTAGACCCATTGGACCCAAAAACCACCACGCGCTCGCAGGCCGTCCGGTCGGACGGGCTGGGCTGGGCTTGGGTGTGTGGTTGGGTTGGGCTTGTCCTGCCCAATACTAATCTTTTTGGGCCAAAAACATTTGAATTTAATTTTATTTTTGGTAAATAAAACCTGTTTGAATTCAAATTATTATGCACCTCTTCAAATTTTGTACAGATTAAATTCAAATCTGTCCAGTTTTTCTGTACAGATTTTATCTGAAACAAGTTTAATTCTGAGCAACAGATTCGGTTACTGTGCAAATTCAAAACTGAACAGTTTTGAATCTGTCCAAACAGTGCCTATCTGTTTAATTTGAATTGAACAGGTTTGTACTTGTTTAATTCAAAACTAACAGCCACAATTTTGCCTATAAATAGACTAGCCCCTCATTTGGATTGATTCACTAATTTTCGTCCATAAAATTCTGCATTCATACTCTTCATTTTGCTGCATTATTTTCTTGTGAGAGAGAGTATAAAACACTTAGTGTGTTCGTTGTACAAATATATTGTAGTGCTGCATATATTTGTTGTTGATCATTTCATCTTGGGAGATAGACGTCTATATTCTGAAAGCACTGTGGAGAGGACGAATCTGTCTTAAGGACACAGTGTCAAACACTGGACTTGATCAGAATAATATTCAAGATATTAATCAAGTAAGTTATTTATTTATTTTCTGTTTTTATTATTTATTTAAATCAGATTTTAATTTTGTTTTTACAACAAAATAAAATCTGTTTTTATTTATTTAATTCTTTTTCTAGTTTGATTTTTGTAATCAAACATTCATTCTCTTTTTCTTTATTTCTTTTATATTCTGTTTGTCGTTTAGTACCCAAACATAATTAATTAATTTAAATACAGTGAAAATTGTCCAACAAGTTTTGCTAGGTAAGTATTGTACCAATCAATCCTTCTTGGAGGTTGTTTATTAACAATATGTATTTGCTTTATCATTTAATAATACATATTGTTGCCAGAATTGTTTATTAATAATGCACATCATGGGTCATAACGATATTGTTTATTAATAATACACATTGTATACCTGGGCTCTGATATCATGAAACAATAGTTTGAGAAAGAGAGAGAGAGAGAGAGAGCAAATTAATGACTCTATATTGATCTGTAATTGTGTGTCTATTACAAAGAGAATGCACTCTCTTTATAGAGAGGATATGATGCATTGGATGCCCACCGAAAGCATAAAAGATTTACAACATAAAAGATAAAGTGCTGAAGCTATAATGCTAAGCTATGATGTGCTATAATGCTAAGCTATGATGCTATAACAGCTATTAACAATTATATACTCACAGATAATGTGTTTGCAATTAAGGATAATCACTCTAATTTGTGTGTTTTGCAGAATGGTGCCTGGGAGTGAGATGGAATCATGGACATTTATCATTGATGGATCATGGAAGTCATCTAATTAAAGTGCCGGGATAGCGTGGATTTGCTTGGATATTTTGCTAGGTAAGTATTGTACCAATCAATCCTTCTTGGAGGTTGACAAGGGAACTAATTCTTCATGGGGCTGGCATAGTATTTTATGGGGTGGGGATTTACTAAATTCCGGTTTACACTGGGTAGTGGGGAATGGGAGACAAATTTTGCCTTTTGAGGATCAATGGATTCTTGCAGTATCCAATCCACTACGGAGGAGGGGGCTTCACTGACTTTTTGCTCAAATGCGGGTAGAGCATTTTATTGATATGAAGTTGGGTTGTTGGAGAGAAAATTTGGTTCGACTTTTCTTTTCGGAAGAATGTACAAGGAATATTCTAGTAATTCCTATTCCCAATCATTCTTGTTCGGATAAATTAGTTTGGAGCCCTATCAAAAATGGGTTTATACAGTTGAATTTGGTTACAAACAAGCCTTGCTTCGTTGTTACCCTTTGATGTATGGGAATGAATCTGAAAAAGAGGTAAGGAAAAAGCTGTGGCATTTAAGGTTACCTCATAAGTGGGCTTTATTTATTTGGAAATGTCTCCATAGAATCCTGCCAGTCCAATGCGAATTAAAGAAGCAAGGAGCCCCAGTCAACACACAATGCGCTCGTTATAATAATAGTGATGAGACATTAGAATGTGTTTTTTTGATTGTCATTAGATGCAAAGGGTGTGTAGAGGGTCTACGCTAGGGCTTGATTTCAGTATAGGTTCACCGGTGTCTTTTTTTCAGTGGTGTAAGGAGTGGGTGGAACAAGTCAGAGATAATGAAATTATCATTCACGCAGTGGCCATTCTTTGGGGCTTATGACCGCAAAAGAATAGCTTTGTGTTCAATAAGGGGTTTCAAACTATTGAAAGCACGATTGAGGAAGCAAATACATATTGTTTATTAATAATGCACATCATGGGTCATCTATACACATTGATAATGTGTTTGCAATTAAGGATAATCACTCTAATTTGTGTGTTTTGCAGAATGGTGCCTGGGAGTGAGATGGAATCATGGACATTTATCATTGATGGATCATGGAAGTCATCTAATTAAAGTGCCGGGATAGCGTGGATTTGCTTGGATAATAAGAACCAAACAATCAATCAAAAAACACTAGTGATGCATCCACACCAAACTCCATTAGTGGCGGAAGCGACAGCATACTTGGAGGCTATTAGATGGGCGGTGAACATCGGGCTGAAATGTGTAAGAATCCAAACAGATTGTCAAGTTCTAGTGAGAATGCTTCAAAAGAAAAGCACTCAGATAAACTGGCAGATTATTACTATTATTAATGATATTATACATTATGCTAACTATTTGGACTATTGTTATATTAGTAAGCTTGGAAGAAATGTAATTCAACTAGTACATAAACTGACAACGGGTGTAATTAAAATTTAAATAATATAGTAACTTTTTTATTTTTTTAATATATGCCAAAATCTTATAAAATCCAATTGTATTGAAGTTGCTCTTGTCCATCTAAATAATAATAATAATAAAAAAGATACTTTTTCCGTCTCAAAATATTAGTTCATTATTTTATTTTTCATTGTGTCAAAATATTAGTTAATTTTCAAAAATTAATTAATAAAATAATATGAATTTATTATTTTACCCTTCTTTTAAATTCATTAATAATACAAAAAATACAATTATGACAATTGATATTCTTAAAAAAAAAATACTATCAAAGGATAATTTTAAAAAATTAGTATTTTTAAAATATAATAATTATATTATCAAAAAAAAATTAGATTCCCATAAGAGACTATTATTTTGGGACGGAATGAGTAATTATTTATGTTATCATTAAATAATAAAGAAATTATTATTTTTTTGGTTGCACGATCCAAACATTGTGTAATCCGTCCCGACCCGCACCACATCGCCTAGGGGTGTAATTTTGGCTCGATCCGGCCCAACCCAGCCCATTCGGGCTCGGGCGGGGCCCATGTTGGCCTTGCGGGCTCTTGTCAAAAATCGAGCTCAGTCGGCCTGGCCCACGGGCCAGAAAACTAGGCCCAGACCTAGGAATATTCGAGCTTTGGGTGGGCCAGTAAGCCGAGCCTCGGGACGGGCCCAGAGGCTTGGGCCTGGGCTCGGACATTGGGCGGGCCTAAACAATTTTTTAATTTTTTAAAATTTTTTTCACCAAAAATTTATTATTTTTCATTAAAAGTAACATTGGGTTTCAGGTGGGTCGGGCCTCAGGCTGAGCTTTTGGGCGGGCCTTGAGCAGGCCGATGAGTCGGGCCAAGCAGGCGAGCCGAGTTTCAAAACAATGACTTAAGCCCTGACCTAAACTCACGGACTGGGTTGAATCTGAGCCTAAACAAACCTTAACGAGCCAGGCCCTCTCAGACCGCGGACAAACTTCGAACCGTCCACGGACCACGAGCCAAAATTACGCCCCTAGCCTCGCCTTATCCATTTGGAATCACTATCCGCTCCCATGCGTGCCTTGGTCCCGCATCATCCAAAACTAGGCAGCCCCCCCAACCCACCCACACGTCACTGCACGGCCAACATCACCAGCAGCACTGGTCCTCTCTCTGTCTCTCGCAATCTGCGCCTGCTGCTTCCATGCTCATCGAACCACAAACACGAAAACCACCTTCCATACCCCTCTTAGTATATTCTATTCTATCGTCTTAAACCTCCTTCAATCTCCCAATCTCTGCTCCTCTATACATATCCACAACAACAATACACACTCTCATCTCTACATATTTCAAGTGATGATAAATACAATCTAATTTACTGGCCAACGATCACTATATATATATATATGAAATAATAGTTTAATATAGTTTAAAGAGAGAGAGAGAGAGTGAGAATGGGGAGTGGTGCATCGAGGAACACGGACAGTAGCTCTCATGGCAGCGAGGGGAGAGAAGAAAACCTAGACCAAGCTGGTGGACAGCTCTACGTATCTCTCAAAATGGAGATTTACAAGCTCAAACCCGACCTCATTCCTCACGTCTACGGCTCTGTCCCTCTCGTCGGCTCTTGGGACCCTTCCAAAGCTGTATCTTCACTCTCTCTACTCCTTTCCTTTCAATTCAATTCAATTCACTAACCCTACTCGTTTTTTTTTTTGTTTTTTTGTTTTTTTTAAATTGTTCTAATTCCAATCATATCTTTAGCTTTCAATGGAACGCGAATCAGCCTCAATTTGGGAATTGAGCTTCGTCGTCCCACCTAATCATGGTAATTATGCTGTCTGTTATTGAATTCTTTCATGTGTTGAATAGGGTTTGTGATTATTAATCATGATTATAAGAAGGGCACATTGTAAGAAAGTTATGATTTTTTGTGATCAAAGTTGGAAATGTTTGTGGTGTCCATTATGCCAATTTGTAGTAAAAGTTATAAATAATGAATTTATAATGGGTTATACTTTTTGTGGTGAGAAAATTATGTCATTTTGTGATTTACGTTACAAAAAATTGTGGTGTTATCACCAAGTGCATATTGTGGTGTTATCACCAAGTGCATACCATATGCACCCTTTGTAGGTTGCACGTATGAAAAATGCTTTGGAGCTGTAATTCTTGAGCTCTATTGAGCTGGCAGTGGGTCCCATCTACTGTGATGTGATGTTTTGGTCTTGGTCTTGGTTTGTTTTGTTTTGTTTTTTGTTTTTTCTCTTTGCCATGTTAGTAGTGCTCCATTAGAGCATCAAAATTACTGCTGAGTCATTGCTGTTGCACATAATAGCATCTTCCTTATAAAGATATTGATGATTGTTTGTCTGAATTTAGAAACATTGGATTTCAAATTCCTTTTGAAGCCCAAGTGCAATAATGCGCCATGCATAGTTGAGAAGGGTCTGAATCGGCTGCTTGTTAGGGGGGCTCTGCAAGGTGATTCTAGGCCGGCTTTATTTATGCTGAATGGTGATGAGGTTCTTGAATATCAGGTATTCATTAAGGCAGACAGAGTTTCTCCATTTGATCTTGCTGCTAGTTGGAGAGCATATAAGGAGAACCTTCAGCCCTCAACTGTTCGGGGAATTCCTGATGTTAGTATAAATTCGATACCAGAGATGGGTGCTGAGGTATAAAAAGTTTTGCAGATAATGGCCTGCCTTATATTATTTTTTTTAATTTTTGAATGAGCCTTCTTATCTTTTATTACCCAGTGCTATGTGATCCTTGTTATCAGATTTTGCCGCAAAATAATCATATTACAATACTAAATGCAGCTTCTATGGTTTCTAGTTACTTCTGCAGTTTTTTTATTCATATTTGATATTACAATGAAGCCAAATGAATGGCTCCAGTTTGGTTTACTGTAACTCTCTCCAAATTTTTCACAGAACGGCTCTTCAGCAAGTTTGGAGCTTGATCTTGAACATTATGTTGTCCCAGCTCCGGCAACATCTGCAAACTCAGGTCTGATTTATGCTGCTAACATGTCAGAAACTCCAAGGTCATTAACCCATGCCGGGGTGCTTTTCACTTCTGAGGGTTCAGGCAGTGTTTCGCAATCCTACAAGGATGGTGGAGTTTTCAGTGATCGACCTGCGACTATAAAGGTTTATCTTGGCACCCATATCACATGTTTGTAATTTGGATTTTATGCACAGTTATGGAGAATTTGTGAGCTAGATCAACATAAGAGGATTAATTAGTGGAATCTTATCTATTCATATTTCCCAAAGTCTTCCACGTGCCAGTGCAATTTGATCAGATCAAGTTTTTTGGATCTGCACCTGAATATATACTGTGTTTAACTGCATAGCATTTTATAGTATGAAGGCTCCTGGTTATAGACAATATTTCAATATAGAAACAAGTAACTTTCTATATATGTCTATGCATAGACTGATATAACCTCCATGTTCCTACTCCTAGTTATGTGAACCGGGTATGCCATTTAATGGCTGGATTACATTTGTGTGCCTTGATGTTCTGTCAGGACTTAGTTTGCTTATCTGCATTTTTTATTTTTATTTTTGTAATTGTTGTATATGTTCTCTCTGCATATCTCCTAATTCTGGTTTCATCTTATGCTTTTGAATTCTGATCTGAAACAGAATATGCTAATGTTATATAGGAGATGGAAGTCATGGTACCAGATCCCTCTATCGTTTATTCAGGTTCTGGCACGGTTGAATCAAAGTCAGTAGGGACATTTTCACCTTTACAAAAGCAAGATAGTCACAGAGGACTCTTTGTGGATAGGGGGGTTGGATCTCCTAAGCTAGTTAAATCGGTTAGTGCAACAACTTTCAGCGTTGATCTCAGACTAGATTCAGAAACTAAGGTTTGTATAAACATATTCTTTTGCCTTTATTGAGGATTTTGCTAGTGAGATGTTTTCTTTGTATGGATTAGTGGTTTCAGATCTGAGTTTTTACTTTTTTTCTTTTATTTATTTGTTCTTCCTTGTTAATTGTTAGAATGCAATGCCAGCAGCTGCTGGAGCTGTTGCAGCTGCAGCTGTAGCTGATCAAATGCTTGGACCTAAGGAGGATGGACATCTGGCTATAGTCCTGGTATTTTCCTGTTGGTCTCAGTGCTAATAAGTTTTATACTTGTTTACCCTTCTTTTATTTTAATTGGATGCATAGTGTGTTTGTAGATTGGATTTTTATAAGCAACTGTCAACATCCATAGGCTTATAATTCTTTCAGTTGGATTTAAAAATTCATTTTCCTATGTTATTGAGAATGTAACGCTATCAAGTTGCCTGTATACTAGGTTGGCTTGCCAGCTCGAGGGAAAACTTTCACTGCTGCTAAGCTCACAAGATATCTTCGTTGGTTGGGTCATGACACCAAGCATTTCAATGTTGGGAAGGTGATTTATGGTCTTTCTGTGATTACTCTTCACACTTTTTGGAGGTCTTATCATGTAAACAAGCTGGATATAACTTTTTTATTGGTTGTGACAGTATCGACGCCTCAAGCATGGAGCTACTTTGGTATGATAAAGTTGTCTATCTTTTATTATATTTGGGAAAACTCAATTACTGTTGTAGGGTTTTGGAAATTTTCTACTCTGTAGTTTACATTCATGTGTGACTTACTATGTAAGGAAGGTATTCTCCACCTAAGTTTTCACAAAGTTGTGTGATTGCCTTATTTGCCTGCCTCTCTTTCTTCGAAATAAAATTTTAGTTTATCTATGGAAAAAGGAGGAAGTGATTGAGATTTGAGAGGAGAAGACAAATCAGATGCATATGTCCAAATATATGACATATGTTATAGACCTATGTTGTCATTTCTATTTTCTATGATACTGCAGCTTGAATCTTAATTGATGAATTTTGTCCCCATGGATGCTTCAAGCATTGCTTCTGTCACATTTAAAGTTGGGGCGGGGTGGTGGTGGTCCACTAGAACCTTGTGGGCATGCTATTGGAACTTCATCCTTTTTTTCCTTGAGGTTGGGGGATTCATAGTGAATGGAAGTTGTTGAACTAGGCTAATTCAACTGCAGCATTGGTCTTAGCAAAAATTATTCACTTATTTATTTGACATTGTTTCACAATATTTTCGTTCGGTATTCATCCAGGAAAAAAAAAAAAATTATCAATATGCACACATATTTGAGTAGAAAATCTGGAAGAGAAAGATGCATTAGTGCATTGGAAAGAGAACTATTTATAACTTTCCAATTGATAGCTCTTTGTATAAAGCTGTATCTGCCTGATACTGAACACTTCATGATGTCATTATTATAATTCTGTTTCCGTTCTACAGAAGCTGGTTTTGCTTGTATCGGAAGTATATTTTGTTAATTTCGTATATATAACTTTCTTTTTCTAATGAGTCATGATGGATCACACATTTCTGTGTGCAGGCTGCTGATTTTTTCCGAGGTGACAATCCAGAAGGCATGGAGGCGCGCAATGAGGTTAATCTCCTCCAAAGATACTTGTTTTAAGTAATCAAAATGGGATTGTACTTACTTCTGAGTCTATTTTTATGTTTGTTTTTAATTTGTCTGTTGAAATTATCTTTTTGTCATGGCAATAGGCCACATGTCCTAGTTAATAAAAAATTTTCATACCTTCAAGTTGCTTTCCTTTTCAATACCTTAATCATTTATAGCATTTCAAAATGCTTATTCCTACCAGTAGCACAAAGCAGCAGATTAATATGTTGCCGATAGTGCTGTAACTACTGTATTTGCCTTTTCTTGGATGATTACCAAACCAAACCAAACCAAACCAAATCAAACAAAGCCTTAAGTCTTATCAAATGGGGTTGGCTACATGAATCTTTTTTCTCCATGCAACTCTATCAAAGGTCATTTCGTTAGTCAACTTAAGTAGATTTATATCTCCATTTATTATGCTAGCCAACTTCAATCTAGGTCTACTCTGTCCCCTAACACTTTCATCTACCGTCACTGTATCGCATCTCTTTACTACTGCCTCTGTTGGTCTCCATTGAATATGGCCAAACCATCTCAATCTATTTTCTCTCAACTTATCTTCTATCAGTGCTATTCCTACCCATTTCCAAATATACTTATTCCTAATTTTGTCTTTTCTAGTCTTGTCACACATCCATCTTAGCATTCTCATCTCAGCAACACTCATTTTATCTGCATGTTGTTTATTAGTTGCCCAATATTTCGTCCCATACAACATCGTTGGTCTAATAGCCGTTCTATAGAATTTGCTTTTTAGTCTAGTGGGTACTCGTTTATCGCACAGTATCCCAGATGCACTTCTCTACTTAAGCCACTCCGCCTTAATTCTATGGACCACATCCGCATCAATCTCTCCCACCGTTGTTATAATCGACCATAAATAACGAAAATTCTCACTTTTAGATAGTTCTTAGTTCTCAATCTTCACTTTTCATTTACTTTCATTATTGTTGTTACTAAATTTACACTCCATGTATTCTGTCTTAGTTCTGCTTATCCGAAATTCTTTAGATTCAAGTGCTTCTCTTCAAATCTCCAACTTTGTATTTACTCTTTCTTTAGTCTCTCATCCACTAACACGATATCATCTGCAAAAAGCATACATCATGGTACATCATCCTGAATATTTCTCATCAGCTCATCCATAATTAAAACAAAAAGATAAGGACTTAAAGTAGATCCTTGGTGTAACCCTACAGTAATTGAAAATTCATTTGTTACTCCAGTAGGCGATCTAATAGTAGTCACCACCCCTTTATACATGTCCCTAATCACATCAATGTAACTTTTTGTCACCTATTTCTTCTCTAACACTCACCAGATTATATCCTGAGGTACTCTATGATATGCTTTTTCAAGATCGATAAACACCATATGAATGCTTATTTTCTTTTCTTTTCTCTATATTTTTCTATTACTCACTTCAAAAGATAGATCACTTCCGTTATTGACCTACTAGGCATAAGCGCAAATTGATTTTCCGACACTTCTGTTATATCTCGCAATCGACGTTCCATCACCTTCTTCTACACTTTCATTATATGACACATTAGCTTGATTCCTTTATAGTTGTTGCAATTCTGAACATCTCATTTATTGTTATAGATTGGCATTAAAATACTCTTCCTTCACTCATCTAGTATATTCCTAGTTAACAAAATCTTGCTAAACAACTTAGTCAACCAAGCAACCCCTTTCTTATCCAAACACTTCCAAGATTCAATAGTCAACCAAGTAACCCCATTTTTCTGGATGATTACTTTACATTTTGTTATATACACTGTATTAACCTTTTTCTTTGCACATAGTTTTAATACGTCGTGTGGTACTAGGTTGCAGCTCTGGCAATGGATGATATGATAGCTTGGATGCAAGAAGGTGGGCAGGTAAGTTGTTCTACATTATATATAGTGCACCTTAGTTTTATCACATTATTTTTTTTTGTTTTTTATTTTTATTTTTTTTAAATTTTAATTTTAAAATTTATTATTCTAATTAAGTGTAGGTGGGAATATTTGATGCAACAAATAGTACGAGGAAACGAAGGAATATGCTCATGAAAATGGCTGAAGGAAAATGCAAGGTACATGCTCATTGCATGTTTGCTGCAGGATAACTAAGAATTCTCCAAAGACAAAATTGATACAAAAGTGAAGAGTATCATGTTGCTGCATAGCAGGCCAAGAAGACCAATTATTTCTTGAGCTTTCCTATGTGAAATGTTTCATCTTTAAAACTTAAGATACATATCTCATCTACATTTCATAGTAAATTTGTGAACAAGCTAAACAAATATGGTTGTTTGTGGCTAAATTAGCATAGTTGGAAATTTTATTGATATGTTGTCAATCTCATCTTAAACTCGTTAATGTCTTATGCATGCTATATGCTTTGCCATACAGATTATTTTTTTGGAGACAATATGCAATGATGAGCGCATTATTGAAAGAAACATACGTCTTAAAATTCAACAAAGCCCTGACTATGCAGAGGAGTATGGCTGCTTACTAAAATGAGCAAATTATTATCTTAGTCTACACTTCTATACTTAGTAAATGTTGTTTCCCTTCAGGACAGATTTTGAAGCTGGATATCAAGACTTCAAAAATCGAGTACAAAATTATGAAAAGGTAATTTTTTGAACTTGTGTTTTTGATACTTATTGTTTTGAAATATAGTATTGAGAAATGGAGTAAATGATTATAAGACAACCAATTCTATGCATGTTATAGGTTTATGAGCCGGTGGAAGAAGGATCATACATCAAAATGATTGATATGGTCAGTGGTCAAGGTGGACAAATACAAGTGAGTAGAGCTCATTTTTTTTTATTGTTGTCCTTTTGATTTTTAACCTTTATTACTTGAAAGATGTCAAATGCTATCTTCTGTTTCTGTACATGATATCAGGGGAGTTGCAAAAAAAAAATTACGATGGACTCCCTGAACATGTCAATTGTGAGAAACGGAACACCATTTGATTTGGAAGTACCTTGATCACTTTTTATTTTTTTGTTATAAGTAGGAGTATCCTCTCTCTATTTTGTGAAGATTTAGTTCGTAATTGTAGATTGTAAGGTTGTTGTCAAGAACAAGAACATATGCATAAAATTGATATACCAAATAGATTATTTTTCCTTAACTTACATTTTGAAGCAATTTTTTTTTTTTGATTTTTGGCCCACTTGATTGGAAATGTCATCAAGTAAATACTAATTACTAGTGCAAGCTAGTGTGATGGGTGAGTGACTTCTTGTAGTTTGAGTTAGTTTTTGATTGACGGTGTTAGTAGTGCAGAAGTCTTTTAACTAAGATCACTCTTTAAGGATAGTGTAGAAACCATATCAATTTTTTCTTGTTGCTTATAGTTGTGATAAGGTTGATTTGTGTTTACCTCCACAATGCCACAATTTCATCACATTAATCAAAAATTGAGAAGCAAGAGGTAATTTTTGTTTCTCCCGGTAAAGGTTTCTTTAAAACAATGCTGAAAGTGAAAATCTTTTGTATGCCACAATTAATTACCAGGAATGAATTACTTGAACATTCTCTATATCTTCTCCTGGTCATCTGAAATTCAATTTGATTGGCTTAAGATAATAGACAGGAATGAGGAAACTTTTTTGGTTTCTTTGCATATATTCACCATGCAATTTGATGATCCTGGTAGCCAATGCTTCCAGTTTCCATCAAGATTTAATGCTTCCAGGCTGGGAAATATGACGTCATCTGAAAATTACAATATGGACGTTTCTCTTACATCTTCCATTTTGTATGGTTATATATATATATATATATATATTTTGATTCAAATGAAAGTTAAGATAAACAACGTCCAATTAGTACACATTAATGTGTGTTCGGAAGGGGAAATACACATTAATGTCTGCTACTAGTATGAAAGTTAAGATAGAAGATAAAATTCAGTTTTACAAAACAAAGAGGGGAAATACTTAGTCCCTCCTCATACTTGTAGAGATCCTGTCTGCTACTAGTATGGAAGTTACATTGCAAGGTGGATCATCAAGAAAGATTACGGGCTCTTTTTGGTTTACACCGATGTTGGCCAATGCATCAGCACTTTGATTAGCTTCTCTTGGCACATGTTGGATGGTGCACTTGGGTATATTTGGGTAGAGAAAAGTGGCCTTTTTTGCGTGGATTTTTATGTAAATTCAATGAAATACTTCAATTTCACACAATTTTGTTCTTTGCTAAAACATTTTCGTAGATGTTTCTATATCTCGTTATAGCTCCAAATTTAGACACCATCTATAGGTTTATAAAGTGAGGTTTGATCTTTCTTTATTTTTTATGGTCCCTTTTTCTTCAGGTAAACAATATCAGTGGCTATCTTCCTGGAAGAATTGTCTTCTTCTTGGTATGTTATCCTCTGTTTTATTATATATTATTTACTTTGGTTGGGATAAGGCTTTTGGGTTTAGTATAACTTGTTTCCTCTTGTTAATTCTTTGGCATTGCCTTTCTTTATTTTATTTTATTTTTTTCCTAGTAGGCAAGTGTGATGAGAAAATATTAGAAGTCCCGCTACCATAATGATTGGACAGAGTTTCCTGTTTATTTCTTGTGCTGTACCAAGCTCGTTGGCCTTAAGTTATTCGGGTAAATATCAAGAAACAAAATTTCGTTTGTGAACAGCCAAAACATTTATCTTTTTCTAGAAAATTAACACAAAACATTAGTGGAATACCATAATTCCAATCTTTCCACTTAAACGCACCAAAACTCACTGAAACACAACAAAACATGCCAAAATAATGAGTTATTTTGGCACCTAATGCTCATTTCTATTTTCCTTTTTTCAGTAATAGAAAAGATTAATATGAGAAAGTAAAGAGAAGAAAGGGGAGAGAGAGAGAGAGAGAAAATAAAACATGCTTGTTTAAGTAACTTATTTTTCTCTTTGTTACTATAAGTACTTTTTTTTTCTTCTCATCTCTTTTATTGCTAGAATCTTGCATATTTTTGTTTTCTCTTCC